GCTGCTCCGCCCCCCGTCCGCCCCACCTCCCTGGGCCCCGCCCCGCGCGCGAGGCTCCTGGGGTCCCAGGCCTCCCGCGCCCGGAGCGTGAGCGCGCCCAGATCCTCAGATCCCCGGACCGGAGGCCCCCGTCTGCCCCACGGAGACACGTGTTGTCGTTCTGTGCACTTTGGCGCTTTGTTCATGGCGAATTCTTTTTTTGATTCATGGGATTATTAATTTCTTTTTTTTTTTTACTACTGCTCCATGTAAATATTATTCATCTTGGTTACCAGGCATTGGGCACGCCCTTCTATTTTGTAGCCGAGGCGAATATCTCTCGCGCCTCACCCTCGACCCTGTCTGGAGCGCGCCAGCAACTCAGATCCCCAATCCTCCCCACCTCCCGAATCCGGGGTGCCTCCCGGTCGTCTGACCCGCCACGGCAGACACGCCAAACCCCTCGGGGACACTCCCGTGCTGGCGCCCTGTGCGCTCCGAGCGCTTCCCAGTTCTACTTGGTGAAATGGCGCCTGGGACGACGTGCAGAAGCTCCCAGCGCGCCAGGCTAGGCGCGCACGGAGCCCAGGCTGGGCGCAGGTGACACGCTGAGCTTGCAGCCCTGGCGTTCCCGGGAGCCTGCCAAGTGGTGTAAGCGGTTAAGTACTGCACTGCACACCAAAAGGTTGTCGGTTCAAACCGACTTGGAGGCACCTCAGAAGAAAGGTGTGGCAATCCCCCCTTGATAGGCTGTAGTATTGAAATCCCTGCAGGGTGCAGCAGGTCAGACCTCAGGTGCATGGGGTCACCATGAGAACCCCTAGGGGACAATGAGGACTCTGGTGGGTCACCTCAGGACCCAACTACATGTCACAGGATGTTAATTAATGCCTCTCATGAATAGGGCCAGACGTGGCCAATTCCCCTCTTGCAGGGGTTTCGCGGAGCTTGTGATTAAGCGCCCCAAGAGAGTATGACTCATAGCAACCTGTGAACAGCAGATCTACGCCCCATCCTGTCCTGTGCTTCAGTCACCATGTCAAATCCATCTCCTTGGGAGTCTTCCTCTCTTTCACTGACCCTCCAACTTTCCCAGCATGAAATCCCTTTCCAAGTTATATATTCCCACTTTACCACTTGTGGCTACCCACTCCACCTGGTCTCACTATTACAATGGGTTTTCAAATACCTTAGGGCCAGGTTTGGGAGACACGTGGGGAATGACAGCACAAGGCTGATCCCAGAGTTCGTTCTCCCTCTCTCCTTAATTAAACAGACGCGCAGCAGGCGCTGGCCTCTGCCCCTTCCTGCCTCTGGTCTTCGCCTGGCCACCACCCTCTCTGTGACATTTCTGCAGACCCCCCTGTGGCTGGCTGCTGCACTTGGCAAAGGCCCCAGCCCAGCCCCTCCATTCCCTTCCCCCAATATTTTGATAACACATCTATCACTACCCAAAATACTTATTTATTGTGCACCTCGTCCTGTACCCGATTACCCCAGTCACTGAATCAATCCACCTCATAGAGGGTCAGTGACTGGGGTAATAAAGATGGTTGTGTCAGAGGCAGTCCGATTGGCACAGGACAGAGCAGGATTTAGGGCTGTTGTACATAGGGTTGCTATGAGTTGCAAGCGACTCGAGGGCACATAACAACAACAACAACAACGTCCTCTACCTCCTCCTCTCCCTGTGAAGCCAAAACCCAGCCGGTTGCTTCCATTACTCCCGAGGCCTGCCATTTGAGTGGTTGACCAGTAGCTGCCAAGTGGATGCATCTTAAGCAATAAGTAATGGATACTTACACGGAGCAAAACAGGCTTTGTCCACATCCTGGTAGACCTCACAGCCTAGTGGGGGAGAGGGTTATTCATTACACAATGTGTGTGTGTGTGTGTGTGTGTGTGTGTGTGTGTGTGTGTGTGTGTGTAAGGAACTGGGAGGGTGAACTCTTTAACCACTTGCTGTCGGTTACTTCTGACTTACGGAGACCCTTATGTATCAGCCCAGAACGTGGCTCCATATGGCTTCCAATGGCCAATTTCTTTTAGAAAATGTTTCTGGATAGATTAACTATTTCTCAAAATACAATAACCTATTTGAGGTTTTGTAAGGGTTTCCCCTTTTGTCTTGTTTTGCCTGGTGGGATTGTTTTTTGTTTGAGTGTGTGTGTGTTTGTTTGTTTGTTTGTCTTTCCATCATGAACTGAATATTACTTTTTAGATACAAGCATGTCTAAATTAGTTAACGGGAGCTCCGATGGCGTGGTCCAAACCGAGTTGGGCTGCTAACCTATCCCAAAGATTGAGCCTCTCTGGAGGTTTGAATCCAACAATTGCTCCTTGGAAGAAAGATGGGCAACCATCTCCCTTTGGATTTACATGTTGTTGTTAGGTACCATCAAGTCGGCTGTGATTCACAGTGGCCCTGTGGACAACAGCTCTGAACCCTGCTCTATCTTGAGCCAAACTTACTGTCCCCAACACACCCACCCCCATTATCCCAGTCACTGAGTCAATCCATCTCACCGAGGGTCTTCCTCTCCTGCATTGTCCCTCCACTTTCCTAAGCATCATGTCCCTCTCCAAGGACTGATCCCGCCTTGCAACATGTTCAAAGTATGTCAAACAAAGCTTCAGAATCCTTGCCTCCAAGGAGCAGCCTGGTTTCACCCTCTCCAAGTTGAGCCTGTTTGTCCTCCTAGAAGCCCATGGTATATTCACTAGTCTTCTCCAGCACCACAGCTCAAAGGCATCAATTCTCCTTCTACCATCCTTAGTCATTGTCCAGTTTTCTGATGCATAACACATAATTGCAAAAACCATGGCCTGGATCAGGTACACCTTGGTCTCCAGCCTGAGGTCATTGCTCTTCAGTACTCTGGAGAGGTCCCTGACAGCAGACTTTCCCAACACAATTTACCTTTTGATTTCCTGGTTGCTGGTACCAATACCTCCTTGGGAAACCCGGTCAAGGGTCAGTGATGGGTCGGTTCTGACTTGACAAAAATGAGTCCTTTTGTTGTTGTTTTAAGGCAACTCTGTATTTCAGTAGAGCAGTTGAAACGTGAAACAATCACAGGAAAAATCATTTCATAATCAATGACTCTGATCATTAATAAAACTGGTTGCCATTGAATCAGATCTAACTCACAGACCCCTCATGTCTGGATAGAACAAATATGTCTTGGAGAAATGCAGCTGGAGTGCTCTTTGGAGGCAAAGATGCTGGGACTTTGCCTGACATGCTTCAGGCATGTTGCTAGGAGGGGCTATTCCTTGGGGAAGGACCATCATGCTCAGAAAGGTGGGGGGTCAGTGAAGGAGAGAAGATCCTCAAGCAGGTGGAATGACACAAAGACTGCTGCACTGGGCTTGAATGTGTCAGGAAGTGTGAGGATGGCGCAGGATACGCAGGGGTCAGAGGTCACTATGGGTCGTGCTCAGCTTGGGAGCACCTAACAACAACAACAACAATATGATTAGGGCTCTGGTGTCTTAATCCATGTGAAATGGTTCAAATACACCACCACCCTGCAGGAGAAAGATGCGAAATCTCTTGTCATGTGATTTACAACCTCTGAAAACCCACCAGAAGTTCAGTTATCAGCTGGTTTCTTTTTTTTTCCTATAATTATATTTTATTAATTTTCATAAACATTTACAGAGATTTTGGGCTTCCACTCATTCATTGTTGCACTATTCTCTCTACCCTCCTCCCAGTTTGTTCTTGTCCAAATGCCACTGTGCTTGTCAAAGCCAGTTCTGATTAATCTTCTTTGTCAGTGTATCCTTTGCCATTCCCTATCACTCCTCCCTGAGAGAGACTTCACCCTGAGTCATAAGGAAAAGGGGACGGCGTATTCTCTTAGCTACTTCCTGCTGAAAAGGGATGCTGTGGGTTTCAGGGTGAAGATCTTCTCTCACTACTCTAAAGGGCCCCTTTGGCAGTAGGAAACACATAGACTATTATGGAGATTGATTTTGGAATTCAGATGCACTCTTATTGATTGTGCTTGGCTGTACATGTACATATCCTTCAAGATGTATCATGGGGGTGTTGCAACCTAGAAGACACAAATTTGACTAACAAGTTATAAGTACATGAGTCCAATAATTATGGAAAAGTAAAAGAAAAGATTCTTTCATTGTTTTACAAACCCTCCCCCAGGTCCCCTCCACCATGCAGCCCTCGCTCTAGTCTCCTGTGATGACAGAAATACCCAGTTACATCTCTCTTTTAGACGGTTCTCTCCCTCCTCTGCTTCAGTGCAGTATACATTATTGAACCCATCTTACTCAGTGTCTCCCCAACCCCAAGGACAGTCCCATTCTACAACAGTGGCATCATGTAATATTTGTCCTTTTGTGACTGGGATATTTCACTCAGCATAATGTTCTCCAGAGTCAACCATTTTGAATAATATTGCATGAGTTCCTTGTTTTTTAATGCATATCAGCTGGTTTCAACTCAATGGCAATGAGTTTTTAAATGGAAAATATGATTACTGGGGGAGCCTAAGAAAAGAAGGAGCAAATAACATACATGGCATTGAAACAGATGAGGGAAAGAACTGCTTAAAAAGCATTATATTATTAGATATTATTTGCATGACAACAGTCCAGAATAAGAGCTGCAAAGAAAAGTGGACTGGGGGAGGGGGGACAATGAAAGGTTTGTTTAGCATCCCCCCTCCCCAAGAGAAAAGCAAACTGTGAGGGGTGGGCGGGGAGGAAAATGTGCAGCAATGAATGACTCGAAATCCAAGTTCTCTATAAACATTCATGAAAATCTTAATTTAAAAAAGCAAATATGGTTATTTAATTATAATGTCTGATCAACATTTTACTGCCTATGTATTTATTAGGGGTCTCCGGTGGCCCAGTAGGTATGCAGATGTGCTGCCAACCCAAAGATGGATGGTTCAAATCCACCAGCTGCTCTGCTCGAGAGAGAGAGATGGATGAGCAATCTCCTCCTTGCAGCCTCTGAAAACCCGCTGAAGGATCAGTTATGAGTTGGTTGGGACTCAACAGCACATGACAGCAGCAATATTTACTTCTTAGTTCTCCCTCCCTTCACATCCCTAGTAACCATGCAAGAATCAGTGCTCCTGTGTGTAAGCCTTGCCTTAATCTTCTACAGCAGTGGTCTGCCCTATTGGTAATCTTTCTTACTTAGATCGCTTAGCATAATGTCCACTTGCAT